CAACACTTTGTACTCCCCTTTGGTATAAAACAGGCCTGTCACCAAGACTAGACAGTTTCAAGGGCAGGGACCATTCACACAGGGAGCTGAACATTTTGGCCATTAGAAAACTATTATGTGCAGTGGGCCTAATGATCAACCATTAAGTTCCTAGTTTCAACAACAAAACTAATAAGCAGAACTCAAGGTGCAAGGTTTCAAAAGTCCAAGAGCACAGGAAACACTCCTAAACTTTTTTAGCACCAAGAATATGGAAGATATTAAGTGTCCAATGTCTTTTAAAGATTGTTTGTGCTTCAGCAAACATGTGACTTGTTCACTTAGTGGGTAGGGCACAAAAGCCCAGAGATGAAGTGCCATCAAGAGGGAGCAGGTTGTATGGTTCCATGAGGTGAGTCTCTGCTGTAGAACAAGCCTGGCCAAGGTGAGCTGTTGACTTGATGGCTCCAACAGGAAAGCTCTTTTCCTTACTAGGCTCTCCAGCAATCCTTAGCAGCCAATTTGCTGTGACATGAGGGAATGTGGCATTTTTTAAGATGTCACTTGTCAACAAACAGCACTCCTCTATGAAAATGGGACCACCAGTTTCCCTTGGATTCCAGAAGCTTCAAGGCAAGGGCAGGGCTTACCATATTGACATTCCCTGTCCTGGTGCCTAGCAGAGTATCTGGTGAGTAGCCAGCTTGGACAAATAGTACATGAAGAACATTCCAGCAGTCCGTCACAATTTTCACCACCAAGCACATGCTCCGTATAGTGTTAATTGTGGCAATATCCAGCACAGCTTTTCTAACTGAATCCAGTTNGACAAATAGTACATGAAGAACATTCCAGCAGTCTGTCACAAGTGTTAATTGTGGCAATATCCAGCACAGCTTTTCTAACTGAATCCAGTTGTTTCCAGTATCATTAAGTCCCATGACAAATTGGGTCTCGTACAGCCAAAAACTTTAAGCACAGAAAGGAAATTATGGAAAAAGGTGGCATGTGACCCTGGCTGAGTGGCTCCATTAGAGTATCATCCTGTACACCAAAAGGTTGTGGGTTCAATTCCCAGTCATGATACATACCTAGATTGTGGGTTTGATCCTCGGTCAGGGCAAATGTGGGAGGCAGTCTATCAATGTTTCTCTCTCTCCTCCTCTCTCTAAAAATCAATGAAAGCATGTCCTAGGGTGAAGATTTAAAAAAAAAAAGGTGGCCTGTGTATGTGGAAGGGGTCCTTTTGAATGAGAGGTATGGAAGATTAGAAGTGCAAAAGTTTTAGCCATTTGATGTTAGTTTAAGTGCTTTTCTTGGCTTTCTGTGGGTTAGTTAAGAAAATATTAGGACAGAGCCGAGATGGAGGAAAGGGAAAGGTTAGATTTTTTTTTTAAAGATTAATGTGCTGGGTTTGGGTAACCAAATTAAGCCAAAGGCATTTTGGAGAAAAACTTTAAAAATTAAAGCCACACATATTAGTAAGAACATTAACTGCAGTAAATATAGAGGGTTTCTAATTTTTCTCTTCCTCTTAACAGAAAAGATTACATGTATGTTGTATATGATGTTTATGTATAGCTCATGCTTGGTGAGTACTTACTATGTGCTGGGCACTCAAATCTAAGTGATTTACATCTACTTATCCTCTCACCAGCCCTCTGAGGTAGGTACCTATTATTTTGCCTGTTTTACAGATGAGGATACTGATGCCCTGAGAGGTTCCATGATTTTGTAGGTCACTTAGGTAGCAGATGGCAGAGGTGAGATTTAACTGAGGAGATGGCTACAGAATCTACCTCTGAATTTGGATACTACACAGCTTCTTTTGTGTTTTCATTGTTTTAGTGAAACTTATGTGCAAATTTTCTAATCAATCTTTATTAATAAAGAGATTTATCTATATTGCAGGAGTGGGGGTAAGGGAAGGATAGACTTACAATGTGATGGTTTCAACTTTAGGTCTCAAATGTCAGGTCCTGCTGCCACCTGGTGGCCACAGCTAGTATTGCTATGTTACTTTTGAGTATGAACTTGCTGATGTCGGCGGAGACCTAAGTAGCAGCGAAAGGCTTTCTGACAGTGTGGACACTGATATGGTCTCTCTTGGGTGTGAGTTCTCTGGTGTTGACTGAGATGGGCGCTGAGGCTAAAGGCTTTCCCACACACATCACAGATGTAAGGCTTCTCCCCAGTGTGAATTCTCTCATGCTGCCTCAGATTTGCTTTCTGGGAAAAGGCTTTCCCACATTCTGCACACAGGTAGGGCTTCTCCCCAGTGTGAACTCTCTGGTGAATAGAAAGGCACGAGCTCTGGCTGAAGGCTTTCCCACATTCCCGACATAAGTAAGGCTTTTCTCTGGTGTGAACTCTCTGGTGTCGAATAAGTAGAGCATTCAGGCTGAAGTTTTTTCCACAGTCACCGCATTTATAGGGTTTCTCACCTGTGTGAACTCTCTGATGCTTAGAAAGGCGCCAGCTGTGTCTGAATGTTTTTCCACATTCATTACACTCAAAAGTTGTCTTTCTGGCATGAGTTCTCTGATGCTGAATAAGGTACTTACTATGCACAAAGACTCTGTCACACTGGTTACATTTAAAAGGTTTCTCTGCAGTGTGAATTAACTGATGTTCTAAGAGACGTGAACTTTGGCTGAAGGCCTTTCCACATTCATTACACTTAAAGGGGTGCTCGCTCTTGTGGATGTACTGATGTTTGGTAAGGGAGGTGATGCGGATGAAGGCCTTCCCACAGTCCCCACATTTATATGGCCTCAATCCAGAGTGTATGATCTGGTGGTGAATGAGCTGTGTACTTTGGCCAAAGGCTTTCCCACACTGGTTACACTCAAAGGGCTTCTCTCTGGTGTGAAGCCTCTCATGCTGAGTCAGGTATTTGCTGCAACTGAAGGTTTTCTCGCATGTGTTACACTTAAAGTGCTTCTCACCACTCCTTGGATGCACTTTCTGTTCTAGGTTCTGATTCAAGATTTTTCCTTTCTCAAGTCCTTGTTTTTCTTGGGTGTGAACACTCTGGTGGCAGTTTAGTGTTGAGCTGCAAATGAAGCGCTCACCACACTCCTGACATTCATAGCGGGTTTCCACAGCATGCAGTTTTTTGTGTTGAACAAGGCGTTCATTATGGCTGAAGGTCTCGCTGCATTCAGTACAGCTGTAGGGCTTTTCTGTGGCATGAACAGACTGGTGTCGAATCAGGTGGGAAGGCCGGCTGAAACTCTTGATGCATATGTTACATTTGTGAGGCCTGTAGCCAGTGTGAATCCTCTGATGTTCACTTAGGTGAGTGTTCCGGTAGAAGGCTTTCCCACATTCACTACATTTGTAAGTCTTCTCTCTACTGTGAACCCTCTGGTGGCTCTTTAGAGTCAAGATATGGTTGAAGCATTTTCCACACTCATCACACTTATAAGGCTTTTCTCCATTGTGAACAGACTGGTGTTTGATGAGGGATGAGCTCTGCCTGAAGGACTTCCCACATTCCTGACACTTAGAGGTAGTTTTTGCAGCATGAATTTTCTGATGTTGTAGGAGGTATTTGTTAAAGTTGAAGGTGGCCTTGCATTTGGCACATTCATAGCGTTTCCGAGTGTGGGTCTTCTGATGCTGAATAAGATGAAAGGTTCGGCTGAAACTCTTACCACATTCGTTACACTTGTAGGATTTACCACCTCTATGGGTTTTCTGCCGCTCAACAAGCTGCGAGCCATGACCTGACGGAGGGTTACTATCTTGACTCTTATGTGTTTTTTCTCCACTGTGAATTTTCTGATGCCACAGAAGGTGTGTGTTGTGACTAAAGGTTTTCCCACACTTGTTACACACACAGGATTTGTAACCTGTGTGAGTCATTGGATACACAGAAAGACAAGAACTCTGGTTGAAACTGTTCTCATACTCTTGATTTCCACTTGGCTTCTCTGACATATGAATAATCCAGTGCTGGATAAGATGGCAACTGCGGCTGAAGCTCTTCCCACATTCACTACATTTATATGGTTTCACTCCTTCCTGGACAGTATTCTGCTGACTCTGGAAGCCAGTGTCATTCCTACATTCCTGAGACTTAGCTGGCATCAGGCTCTTCTCAGAAAGGTCATGGATCTGGGAATCCTCTCCTGTGAAAAGGAGGGACTCAAGACTGAGGCCGCTCTTGAGTTCATGACTCTTGCTGTCTGTGGGACTTTGCTTGTTGGTGACAACATCAGAGCTCAGACTTTCTGGATCTCCTAACAAACTATCTAACCAGCTCTCGCCCATGCATGCTTCTCCCAAGCTGGAGTTCCAGAGGCCATCCTTGGAAAATGTCTCTAATATCTCCTGAGAGAGTCCTTCTTCCAAGAATTCCTGTGGCAAAGGGGCGATCTTGGCCTCACCTGTGTCTGAAAGAGAGGAAGTGTAAATGTCTCCTCTTCCCCAGGGTGAAAAGACAGGAGCTGCAGGGTGAGGACACAGACAAGAGAACAGGGGATGGGTCCTGAGTCAAGCCTGTCCATCAAGGGGATGACGAAGAAAAGGCCAAAATAGTGATCCAGCTGGAGCCTGCATCACAGGAAAAGGGAACCCATGTCCAAGAGAGTTAAGATGAAAGTTGGGCTGCAGGGCTTCCACAGGGAAGGAGATGGGGAGAGCTCTCAGCACATACTTTCCACCATCACCCTCATCAGCTAAGGCCTACTTCTTAGAGAAGTACACTGATCAAGGGACAAGATATAAATTATAACAATGCCGTAAGACTGTTACCATGGAGGCTATATTTGCTCGTTAATAAAGGTGTGACTCCACATGTTTGGAAACAGCCTTATATTGAGGTGGCAGAAACAGAAATCCAAGACAGTAAGAATCTGTGCCTGGATTAGTCACCCATGTGAAAACACTCACGAGCTCCCGAGGTGAGCCATGAATGGAGCTGCACGCAGACCAAGCTGTGCAGACACCTCTCCATGGTTTCTGGTTCAGGGGCCCTTTTGTTAATGAGCGCAGAGCAAATGCCCAGGCTTGAGTTGTGGCCATCTGCTGTGCTCCATGGGCCAGGAAGGAGGTCTGGGCCTGTACAAAGGGGTTGAAACAGGTAGACCAGGGTATCCACAGTACTCAGGGGGCATGAGGCAGGAAAATGGAGACCAGCTTGGGGAATGGAAGGCCACCGTCTGCTGAGTCAGGAAGGACCAAGGAGGGGACAGAGGAAAGGCACCAGGACAGCCACATGCTGAATGCTGAGGTAGACAGAGACAAGGAGGGCATGCAGAGTGTCCTGATACCAGTTGGAACAGAGGGACAGAAGCCAACACATGAAGATTGAAACCCAGAAGCTGGAGGCTCCATGATTGGGTAGACATCCTCCATCTGAGGATGGAGGGCACACAGAGGGCCATGCCACTCACCAGTGCCTGTCACTTCTGGACTTCCTCTCACCAGAGTCTCCAGCTCTTCCCCGCCATCTGGATAGGAGGTCAGGTTGGGTCTCAGCGGGTCTGCAAGGAGAGAACAGCATTGTCGTCAACCAGGATGTGGAGGGCCATCCAGTGGCTCAGTGGCAACCTTCTGGCTCTCCTATTTGATGCTTTATCTAGCACACACTCTTGGGGGCCAGATGCACTGGGCGACCCTGGGATACCTACCCCACAGGGTGACTGGTCCAGTGGAAGAGAGGGACTCAGTCACAACCCAGGGTGATCAGAGCTATGACAGCTGGGGCTGCAGATACAGAACTTGCAATAGCTGGAGAGATGAGCAGAGCTTGCCTGGTAGAGAGACCCATACTTACTCAACCACTCACAATTCACTCATTCACACATCGCCTGAGGNCTCACAATTCACTCATTCACCTGTGGACCACACATCGCCTGAGGCCTCTGGTTTGTGCCCTGTGATAGATGATTTAGGNTTCACAATTCACTCATTCACACATCGCCTGAGGCCTCTGGTTTGTGCCCTGTGATAGATGATTTAGGGTTCTAGAGCTCAAGCAGTCCTGCACACTGCCCTCCCCAAGCTTCCTCAAGGAAGAAAGCTGTCATAATACAGGGATACATGCTACAGTGGAGGAAAGGCCACTGGCTTTGAAGATGAAGAAAGGGGCCATGAGCCAAGCAACGCAGGAGGCTTCTAGAAGCTGAAAAAGGGCAAAGAAACAGATTCTCCAACACTGTTGGAGCCAGCCCTGCCAACACCTTGATTTTAGCCTACTCAGACTCATTTTAAACTTCTGACCTGCAGAACTATAAGAATAAATGTGTTGTTTTAAACCACGACATTTGTGGCATTTGTAGAAGCAGCTATAGGAAACTAATACCCTCCTCATATATATACACACAGATGTGCAGGGGAGTGAAAGCAAATGCATTTCTACCATGTGCTAGAGTTTAAAAATCGAAGACTGAGGTCGGACCTCCTCTAAATTGCTTCTATAGCACACATTGAATACAGTTTAGAGAAAACCTGTCCCAATGTGATAAAACTATATCAAATATAGTTTCCAGTATATAACCTTTTCTTTTTTTCATCTTTTGGAATAAATAATTCTTCTGTTTTTGGAAAAGAACTGAGAAACTAGAGAAAGTAAAATGAGTTGACCCGGATGAGGTGACAGTGATACGGAGGTAGGGTGCCGTGGACCTGGAGCTGCACAGGTTCCAAATGGACTCTCAGTTATATCATTTGCTCACTGTGCAGTGCTGGTGGTCAGAGTCAGGTGAAAAGGGCTAACAGAGCAGGCTGACTGCTCTTGGAATGGCCTGCTTGCAAGGCTGCACTTGGCTGGTGTCTGGGAGCCTGGATTTTGGGAGTGTCCAGCATTCTCTAACCAGTCAGAGGGGCTCCCTGTGCCCAAACTTTTCTGCTGAACACCTGCTTTCCTGCTGGAATGTTGGTACATTCCAAGCAGAGTGTGCCAACATAATAAGCCCTGAATAAAACCCCTGGGTTTAGAGTCTCTAGTAAGTGTCCCTGGTCGACATTTCACATCTGCTGTCACACCTGGTTGCTGGGGAATTAAGCGTGTCCTGTGTGACTCCATGGAGAGAAGGGTCTGGAAGTTGGCACTAGTCTCCCATGTGCCTTCATACCACGTGCCTTCCCCCTTTGCTAACTGTACTGTGTATCCTTTTGCTATGATGGATCATGGCATGAGTACAGCTATAGGCTGAGTCCTACATGTCGTCTTAGTAAACCCTCAAACCNAGAGAAGGCTCTGGAAGTTGGCACTAGTCTCCCATGTGCCTTCATACCACGTGCCTTCCCCCTTTGCTAACTGTACTGTGTATCCTTTTGCTATGATGGATCATGGCATGAGTACAGCTATAGGCTGAGTCCTACATGTCGTCTTAGTAAACCCTCAAACCTGGGGGTGGTCCTGGGAACCTGAACATAGCTGTGAAAATGACTTCCCCTCTCCGAACCTGTTTAAGAATGCTCAACAAAATAGGGACAAACTTCTCATGGGGTGACTGGAGGATTGAAGGAGAGAGTTCTAAGAGGTCCAGCACAGAACCTGGCTCCTGACACAGCATTTCCCACTATTCATTTATTTATTAATTTAGGAACTGTTTATTGAGTCCCCATAGCAGGTAGTTTGTTGCAAATGTTGGGGTACACCAGCGAACAGCACAGGTGCCCTTAGGAAGCTGCCATCTGGCAGGAGACAGATCAAAATAGGAGCAGTGAGAAAATGAAGGAGTGGTGACAAGCTAAGCAGGAGAGAGGAGGGAGTGCTAGTAGGGTCACAATTTCAGTCTTAGGAAAGCCCCAAGGCAAGAAAGGGACAAGAGTCTTCTAGGCAAAGGGGAGAGCAGATATGAAGACCCCAGTGTCAGCTCGAGGAATCACTCTATAGTGACAAAGAGGAAAATGCTGCTGCAGTAGCAGGAAGGGGCTGGATCAGGGCTTGTCAACCTTGCCACTACTGACAATTGGGGTCAGGTAATCCTTGGTTGTGGGGGTTGTCCTTGCATTCTAGGATGTGTGGCAGCTTCCCTGGGTTCTAACCACTAGATGCAAGGAGAACCCCCCACCCCCCCAAGTGGCGACAATCAAAAAGGTGGCCAGGCATTGCCAATGTCCCGAGGGGGCAGAAGCAGCCAGCTAAGCACTGTTGAGCTAGATCATGCTGGTTCTGAGGTGTTCAAGAGCTAGGAGTTCATTCTGTGGGTGATGGGGAGCNCTGGGGGGGCAGAAGCAGCCAGCTAAGCACTGTTGAGCTAGATCATGCTGGTTCTGAGGTGTTCAAGAGCTAGGAGTTCATTCTGTGGGTGATGGGGAGCCATGGATGATCACCAAGCAGGGCCAGAGTGCATACTCACTCAACAAGAAGAGCTTCTGGTAGTTGTCCAGTGCTGTGTCCCAGAACAGGTCCCCCTGGTCCAGCCCCAGCTGCTCCCAGTCCTCCAAAGTGAAGTCCATGGCCACGTCCTTGAGGATCACAAATTACTAAAAACACAACACACTGTCAGTGACTCTGGGGCTGGGGTCAGGGAGGGGCCCAACGGCTCACTCAGTGCACCCCCCACCCCAATGTGCCAGGCCTTTGGCAAAAATCGACCTGTGAGGAACTTCACACCTGAGAGACTAGGCATCCCCATATTTGTAGGCAAGGACACAGAACTTGGAGAAGGGACACAGGCAGGACTTAAATCCAGGTCTGCCTGATCCTAAATCCATTCATTTCTGGCTTTTGCTTTTTTTTTTTTTTAGTGTTTATTCATGATTTAAAAACTTCATTATGGAAACTTTCAAACATACACCCAAGTAGAGACATGCATGCAACAGACCGCCACATATCCATCACCCAGCTTCAATCCCCATCCTATTAACATGTATGTTTTGTTAAGCCACTTTCTCCACTTTTATTTATTTACTTTTTCATGGGGGCTAAAATATTTCAAAGTTAATCCCAGGTGGTATCTGATTTCACCTGTGAATGCTTCAGTATTAACAGTAGAACCCCTTACTCACTCACAGCACATGTAGGCCGTATTAAAAATCTGTATTCAGATTTATCTTACATCTCAATGGTGGTTTTCCATTTTTGTTGTTGTGGTAAAATACATATAATACTCATCATATTAACCAATTTTTAGTGTACAGTTCAGTGGCATTAAGTACATTCACACTGGTGTACAATCATCACCACCATCCATCTCCAGAAATCTCATCTTGCAGAACTAAAACTCTGTCCCTGTTAAACACTACCTTTCCACTTCACCTAACCCCAGCCCGTCACCCACCATTCTGCTTTCTATCTCTATGATTGTGACTAGGTTCAATGGTATGTTTTTTTTAAATGTTTTTATTGTTTTTAGAGAAGAAGAGAGAAATATCAATCAGTTGCCTCCTGCACACCCCTACTAGGGGATCAAGCCCTGACCTGGAATCCAACCAGAGACCTTTTGGTGCATGCGATGCCGCTCAACCAACTGAACCACACCGGCCAGGATTCAATGGTATATTTTTATAGTTGGCTTGTTTGAATCAGAATCCAAGGAGGCCTATGCCCTGTATTGGGGTGACATGCATCAGAAGGATTTTAATCTGTACCTGTACCCCTCCACCCTTTTTATTCCATGCTCCCGATTTAGGGTGCCACATCTGGATATGGTCCTTCCTCTTGGTGTCATTTAGCTGCTCCTCTGCCTGAGTTTCCATTTCCTGGAAACTAATCAGTAAAGCAGCAGCCTGGTTAGATTCAGTACAACTTTGGGGGCAAGAGCCTTCATAGGTGGTGCTGGGTCCACTTTAGGCTGCATGATGGCCTGAAGCGCCCGTCCGCCCCTTTTAGTGATAGCCGTCTTTCTTAATTTTAAAAGTTCTCAGTGAATAGATGTTTGGAATAAAATTTCAAATACTGGAGAACTACTGACAATAAAAAATGACAGCCTTCCCCAGCACCCTATCTCCAGGTGAACCCATGGCTGTCTGGTGTGTTCCTTCCAGACCTCCATCAACACACACATGGACACATTTCAAGTAAGAATGAAACCTGAGTCTTTAGTTTGGATCTGAGGCTTGGCCCCACTACCTTCCTCTGTGGGTAACCATTGGCAGTTAAGTCCCATGCCCCCTTCAGAGCCCTGAATCCTGCCCCATCTCACAGGGATTCTCTGGGAAGTGACTGAGATGCTGCTGGGACGCTCCTGTACGATTCCTAGCACACAGGAAGGATTCTACCAAAGGGCAGTGTGTCTAGTCTGGCAGGGCTCACAGACATGGGCAGGGACAACTACACCCAGGTAGATTTGTTATACAGTGGAGGCAGCAGGCAGTGCTACAGGAGACCAGAGCAAGGAAGAGCTCTGGGAAGGTGGGGGAACTGAGATGGGTCTTAGAGGTTGTGTGACTTACCAGCCAGAGATGGGAGGCAGGGTATTCTAGCAGAGAGAAGAAGAGCCTGAGAAAAGGCTGGGAAGCCTTGTGTAACATTTTACTACAAGTGAAGGGAGCATCACTTGTGTGACTAAAGGGAAGAGAAGATGCTGTGGATGGGGGCAGGACCCAGATCATGCAAGAATGAGCTGAGAAACCTGGACTTTATCCTATAAGCAGTGAGGATTCCTGGAAAGGTACTGAGCAGGAGATCAAGAACGTGAGAGCTTTACTTTAAGATCGTTTGGGGCCATCATAAGTCAGTGAGTATGGAACAAAGGCAGGCCAACTGTGCAGCCTTTGGGGATGATCTGTTAGGACGGAGGGACCCTTGACTCACCTCAGTAATAGCTGACTAGGCCCAGCAGCCGGAGTCCTAGTTTAAGCTCCCCCTCCTTCCCCTCCATGTTCCCAGCTGGCAGGGCTGCAGGAAGGACAAGGAAACTGGGAGAAAGTCTTCCTTCCTTCTAGGACTGATTTCCTGGCCATGCTGGATGAGCCCCCAAAAATGTCCAGAAGTAGGATGAATCAGAACATGAGTCTCCCTGCAGGAATCACAATTGTTATTTACTGAAACCACCCCAGCCCCAAGTTTCCACTGTGCTTATTCTTAGCACTTATCACAATCAGTGAATACACATTTGGGACCTTGTGTCTTACACACTGCTGCATCCTAGCACAGCACAGGATATCTGTTAACAGAGCAAACCCTGTCTCTCTAAATAAACCCTTAGGACAATGCTTCTGAGATTTCGGATTACCTATGATCTCTAGGATTTCAATCCAAGTGCACTGGACTCCAAACTGTTGCTATTTCTACAGCAACAAGTTCTTCAACTTTCTTTTTCAACCATGACCCAAAGAAACAAAGACTATATATATTATGACTGCTCATTCATACACATAACTAAACAAAATCTTTACCAGATAATACTTAACCTTACAAAGTATAATGTCCTGGGATAATTTTTATTCTAGTTGCTTTTTACTTCATTAAAAAAAATTATGGTCACTGCCCAATGAGTTATCTTCATGACCCACAATATGCAAAAGACTGTGTACCAGAGGGCTTTCTGCACCTTTGCAGCCACTGTGAATGTCCTAAGGAGCATGTATCTATGGAACACTGAAAACATTCCGTATTGCAAAGTAGCAGGATGACTAAATGACACAGGCCCACAATTGTTGAATCTCTGGGGCCAGATGTGCTTTGAAATTCAGAAATTTTCAGACTTTAAAAAGGTGGCATACATTTATATAATATATTTCATTAAAATCCCAGTGCAGTGTAAGACCAGCAGCATTTTGTTATTGAACACTTCAGTATTTCCAGAGGAAAGGGTATAAATATTCACACTAGATAATTAAAGGTTACAAATCACAGAAGTTCTGGTCAGGTTTGGGCACCAAACTTATGGAAAAAAAAGAAAAATGGTCTTCAGAGCTTTCTAGATTTTGTGATTGCAGATGAGGCAATATGGTATAACCAACAAGTGCTAAGCTAACATTTACTCTCGACAATTTTCTTCACATCACAGAGGTAAGCCTCGACTTGTGAGGATATTTCAGCCCACAGATATTATATTTGGCCCACACAGTGTTGGCAAATAGGAGGTTTTGAAAGAAAATTAAGTAGCTCCAAACTTGAAAACTGGGATATTTCACCTAAAAATTCGGTCTGCAGCTTCTGAAAAAAATCCTAGGATTTGGCTATGCTGGGTCTGTATTCCCACAAAGCTGGCTAGTTGGAGCTCATTTAAATCTACTCCCCCTATACTCTTCTGTTAAAATTCCTGGTTTTATTATTATAAATAAAATTGCTCATAAAACTAGCAAAAAAAAAAAATCTACTCCCCCTTAGATGGGGTAAATACTCCCTGATGTCCTCACCAGGCAGGTTCTCTCCTTTGCCTGAGCTTCAGTTCTCTGTCTAGCTTCCAAATCACAATCTGTTCACATCTCATACACCCTCAGCCCTGGGAAGGAAGAACCAGGAACCCTCAAGGCCTCCCCGCCTGTCACAGTGACTGGAGCCAAATCTTGGGCCCTGGACTCTTGCTGCTTCTTAGTGTGAGACAGTAGCCAGATCATTCGCCCTCCCTCCACCTATCTCAGTTTCCACATGTACGAAATGAGACAAATACAACAGATCCACAATCCCTTATCTGTCATTCTAAAAATCAAAAAGCTCTAAAAACCAGAACTTTATTCATAAATTGGCAGCAAAACTTAACCCGGATTGCCACAGGCTATGTACAGTCTGTCTTCCTTTCCGTGCGATTATTCACACCTTTCCTAACGGAAATATTCGATCTCCATGAATTGCCCAGGACCCCGCTGGGGGGAAGAGGGGGCTGCTTAATTATGAAATATGCACCCTTATTAACTTTGTAAAGTCTGGTTCCCGAGATGATCCTAGTGCCAAGGTTATCCAATAAGACCGGGAGCTACACTAATTTCTCAGGGCTGACGCCGAGGTGACAGGAGAAAATGCGAGGACAGCTCGGCGCGTGGCACACAGAAAGCTCAAATAAAAGTTCAGTCCTCTCACCTCCTGAAAGGACTCCCGTTCATTCATGCATTCACTCATCCCTCAAGATCCTGCCCAGCTGTGCCAACGACACCCCTTCCTGACTCGGTTTCCTCACCCCAAGATAAAACGGAACGGAGGCGCTCCCCTCAGGGCTGCGGGTGAGGGCTGGAAACCACTTTAGCGACAGCCTGGCCCATAACAAGCTCTGAACAAGGGTTCAAGGCTCCGCCTAGACCCACCGCCCAAGGCGACGCGCCCTTAGCTGTGGACCCCACAGAAGCATTCCGTTACCCCTCAGAGAAGACTGACCCCCCCCCCAGCCTCCAGAGCCCTCAGCGGCCCCAGTCCAGGATCTCATCACCTCGAGATGGCGGTCCGCCGCCTTAACAGACGCGACCAGCCGAGCTGGAGCGGGAAACCCGAATCCTCTCACGCGCGCTCCCCACAGCCACTTCCGGTGGCGCGCGAATCTCAGAATTTCTCCTCGCAGGATCCTCCGCGCCAGGGCAGAGACTACGTTTCCCAGAGGGCTCTGCTTGACATCCTGTCTCCACCCTCTTCCAGGTCTTTAAGAGGTGCCGCTGAGCACTTCCGGAAATAGAGTACAAACAGAATCACTGTCGGGTGATGGCTGGGTATTGTAGTCCAGCTTTTATTCTCTTGAAGAACAACCTAATCATAACTCTGCCTGTTCTAGAAGGGGAGGCTTTTGATTTCTCAAGGCAACTCGACGGTTGCCATAGAAACACGTTGAGAAGACTGGATTCCTGAAAAGACGTGCGGAAACGGCCATGTTGAGGCGAGGGAAATAATGTGACCTCTGCTGACTGGCAGAGACCGGCCTGTAGTTTAACACATGAGCAGTAGACCCAGGTAGCGTTCCAAAGAAGGCGAAATTGGGGTGGGCCATCAGCGAATCTCACCCCCAGCCTCGAGTTAAAGGGCTGACCTGCCGCGAAGGCGTCTGGGAAGTGTAGTTCCGTGGTAGGCACAGCCGAGGGCAGTCGGAAGGACAGCAGCGCCTGCGCGGGGCAGGCCTAGTTCCGCAGCGAGAATGCGCGCGCAGCGCCTTCCTCCGCGGAAGTTTCCTCAGGGCAACTCGGAAGGTGAGTCGCAGTCGGCGACTTGGGTCCGGTATTTGGTCTTCGCCCGGCTCACCAAGTCCAGAAGTGAGGGGAAGGCGAGGCTTAGCGGGGGAAAGTCTCATACCCTGTGCACAGTTCGGTCGTGCGGCCTGTGACGTAAGCACGACCTTTTGTGAGAGGTGGAGCCCCCGGGGGCGGGCTTTGGGACGAGAGAAGCTTCTGGTCGCCGGGATCATGGCCGGCCCTGGCTGTCCTAACCCGCTTTCGGTTCTTCGCAGTGGGCGTGGCTACGGCTGAGACAGGCGGAGCTGTTGGAGTTTCACAGACAACACCGTGGCCCACGTCCTCCCTGGTTTCTCGTTAGGGCGGTGCTGAGGCGAGCCTCGGTCTCCTAAACCGCTGTCCTTCCAGCGCTCAGGCAGAGTCTAGCCTTCAGCGCTCCCACTGTGCTGGCTCAGAACCTTTCCGGAGGGACCCAATATTTAACACGTAGCAGAAGTTCAGTAAATGTTTGTTGAATAAGTAAAATAAAGGAATGAAGGATAAAAGACTATCCTGAGTGTGGAGCCTTGCGCTTTAGCCCTGAACTGGCCGTGGGACCCTTGGACGTGTGACTTCCGCACTCGGAGACTCCTTTCTTCCATCCATGTTTATTGAGCGGTTACCATGGCACTATCTCCATCTGACCTATTAAATAGTTATTTGCTCGTTTGTTTATCTGGTTTCTCCCCACCCCCAGAATGTGAACTTTGTCAGGTGAAGAGCCATGTTTGTTTCCTTTGCTGCTGTATCCTCAGTGACTGGCACACATTAGGAGGAGTTCAGTGAATAGTTATTGAAATTAGCACCTTGTTACATAGCCAATGCTCAATAAACGTTAACCGTTATCTTTCCCTTACATGTGAAGTGAGCCTGAATCAGCCTCTCCATCTTTATTCACTTGCAGAACACTGTTGAGATGGAGATTCCAGCCCAGTGAATCTGAGGGCCAGACGGTGATCTCTTAAAGGTACCATCCCCTCAGGCACATGCCCCTTTAGCCCTGTTCCCCAACAACAGCTTGCTACAGCTCCATCTCTTCTGTGTCACTGCTCTCATATTTTAGTCCAGGAGGACTGTCGTCAAGGGCATGACAGGGTCACTGGGTTAGGTGCTTGCCCCATCCTGGAGGCCATCTTTATCCAAGGGTACTTGGCACCTGGGGAAATTCTGCTTAAAGCCAATTACAGTCACCACAGATTTTCAAACTTTTGTTCACATAAACTAGCAAAGTGTTAGTATATTAGCCAGACTAGGCTAGACTGTGCTGCAGTAACAACAACCCCCAAACCTCAGTGGCTTAACGCAAACCAAGTTTCTCACTAATCCAAAGTCTAGAACAACTCTCCAGGGTAGCCATCCTCTAGGCAGTTTTGGCTCCATCAACACAATGGCTTCAGGTGTGTCCTGGCCTGAGGGAGAAGGAAGACTGTGGTGCTGCCTCTCGCTTCTCTTGAGAAGATAGAGACATCCATTTCAGTGCTATTACCAGGACAACAAGTTAGGAAGTTACACAGCCAATCAGAATTACAGACTTCTTAGCAGCTAAAGGATACCTGGCAGCAGTCTTTGCAATCAGGTGACCTACACACCTCCTTTGTGGGATATAACAAGGGCAGTTTTATACCACGGTGTGGTTTCTGCTCTTCTGCATACCTAAGGGAAGAGGAACCCTTTTCTCTAGCTGAGATTTCTTTCATTCGCTGTTTGGACAGCCTGTGTTTTTCAAGGGTAGACACTAGAATTCCATGAGGCAGCACCAAAAGGAAACGGAGAGGCCTGAGAGGTTCAGAACTTATGGTATGGGAAGAGAAAGGGGGAACGCCCTAGTCCTTTCCACTACATGAGGACCCAGCAAGGAGTTGTCTGCAACCCAGAAGAAGGTGGCACCTTGATCTGCAGGGGAGGGAAGGACAGAGGAGGTACTCTGGCTCTTAACTGTCTCAGCAGGAAAATGACTTCCACTCATACCCCATTTGCCAGAACTAGTCATGTGGCCCCAGTGTAACTACAGGGGACCCTGGAAAGTATAGGGGAGCATGTGTGTATTTGGTGAGTGTCAGCTGTCTATCCCATCCCCATTCTATGCTTGAAAAATTGAACATAACAGCCCTGCCAATATGGCTCAGTAGTTGAGCATCAACCCAGGAACCAAGAGGTCACAGGTTCAATTCCCAGTGAGGGCACATGCCCTGGTTGTGGGGTCGATCCTCAGTAGGGGGTGTGCAGGAGGCAGCTGATCTATGATGTTTCTTTCTCATCGACGTTTTTATCTCTTTATCCCTCTCCCTTCCTCTCTCTCTAAAAGTCAATAAAAGTATATTTTAAAATTATAGAAAGAAATGAACATCACTAGTGTAATTGAAGACCCTCAGTGCTTCTGCGATTGGTGCAGTGCTCCTGTGTAATTTTCATTGACCTCAGGGCATTCCGTATCCACAGTTTCCCCTTTGTACCTTTGTTCTGTTTCGTACCCACCCTGGGCCATTAGACAGGTGGCTAGAGGCTGGACATAGTGGGTGGGAACTCATTTAGGAGCAGCCACTTCCTGAGAGAGTAATCTGTGAGTGATTAGTTGGTAGTGAATTTTCAGTTTCTCTTTCAGCTTCCTGTTCCCTCTTGTACGCTTCTGTTTTCTAGCATGAACACCTTCTGTCCAGACTGTGGCAAAAGTATCCAAACAGCGTTCAAATTCTGCCCCTACTGTGGAAAGCCTTTGTCTACAGAGGAGCCCGAAGGGTCCCAGACCCTTGTCAGACCGCTAGCGTCTTCCATCCGAGGTAAGGGCCAGGGCTTTGAGCTGCTCCCTGGAGGAGGGTGAGGTGCCTTTGTGCGGGCGTGTGGGGAGGGAGTACAATCGCCTTTGCAGTCTATCTGACCTGCCTTAATACTGGAGAAGCCCAGAACTCGGGCCCTCTCTGTAGTCAGCTTCCTGGAATCTTCTTGATATCATGGCTTTGAAGTTGACAACTGTGTCTCCAGACTGGATTCCTCCCTCGAAGTCCAGATTCATGTATATCAAACTGCTTTCTTGACATCTATTGGATGTTCCATAAACATCTTCACATGCCCAGGACTGAGCTCCCGAGGTGACTGTCCCCTAGTCTGCCCCTTCCATAGACTTTCCCATCACAGTAAATAGCTACTCTGTTTATCCAGTTTCTCAGAGCAGACCATGGAGTCATCCTAATTCCTCTTTCTCTCCCACCCACTGTTTCGACCCTCTGGCAGACCTTGTCTGTTTAAAATCAGTGCTGAATCAGACCACTTCCTGCCACCTCCTCTGCCACCACCCTAGTCCATCCCACCCTCACCTGTCACTGATGTTATCACAGAAACCTTCCCCTGGTCTCCCTGTTTCTTCTCTGTCCCCTACAGTTTTCCACATCACAGCCTGATAGACCCTGTTAAAACAAAGCCAGACTCTGGCCAGGTGGCTCGGCTGGAGCATCGGCCCATATACCAAAAGGTGGTGGGTTTAATTCCCAGTCAGGGCACATACCTAGATTGTGGGTTCGGTCTCCAGTTGGTGTGCATGCAAGAAGCAACCAGTCGATGTTTCTCTCTCCCTCCCTCTCTTTCTTTCTCTCCCTCCCCCTTTCTCCCTTCCTCCCTCCTTCTCCCTTCTCTCTAAAATCAATAAACATATCCTTGGTGAGGATTCAAAACAAACAGAAAGGGCTGAGTGGTAGAATAATAAGAGAATTCTGTAGAAGTGAGAAACACTAAGAAAACAGGGACCCACAGGGCTGAGCAAGTGCTGTAAGTGGTGTTGGTCCTGGACTGTTTATTGGCCATTGGTGGCCTCCAGCCTGGGTTTTAATGGGGTACAGGAGATAAAGCTTAGAGCCTAAGCATCATGGGAGGTGAGATTGGAAACCTAAAATCTAGCACTCCTCAATAGGTAAACTAGAACAAAAAATTTTTCAGAGAAAATTGGTGGAGACATTTGTGTCTCAACCTTGGTTGTGGGTGAAAAAAGGCAGAATGTCTAAGAATTCCTAACCAAGAACTCACATCCTCACAGGTTTGGAGCCAGAGTTCATACTGAACTGTGCAGCCCCCAGAAAACCCAAGTGGAAAAGTTAGTGTAAAGTGATGAGGTGTGGGTGCCCCTCCCCAACTGAGGCAGATTTTTGGGGGGAACACCCTTTAACGACTGACCTTAGGGAATTTCCACAGCACATGAACTCTCAACTAATCAGCAAAGACACCAGGAAACAAGCCACCGTCAGGAAATACAATAAACTACAGAATCAGACCTGCACTAACCAGATACCTTGGAATTAACACATAAAACTATGTACAAGAAATTAAAAATATAATGAAGGAATAAAAATTAGTTAGAATTGACCTGGCAGGCTTGAAAAAGAACCAGTTAACACCTATGGTGATAAAAACAAATATCATGGCAATCAGAAACTCATCGGATTATTTAAACTGCAGACTAGACAAAGCTGAAAAGAGAATAGTGAACTAAAAGATAGATTTGAAGAAATTACCTAAAAGATAGAAGAGAGTGACAAAGTGTTAGAAGACATACAAGAGAAGCTAAGATCCCTAAAGAAGAAGCAAGACTTGGCTGTGAGAGTCAAAGGGAAGAGAGTGGTTGACTGTGAACTTAGGGTTTCTGGTTTTATGGTTCCTGGGAAGGGCCTTTGTATCTTCAGTCTGCCTTTGGTCTTCCTTTCTCTAGGCTCCAGGAGACAGAAGAACGCTGGGTCTGAACTCTCTCCCAAGAAAGTGAAATGGTCTGGCTGTGTCACTTCTTCGTCATCCCTCTTGTCAGACTATGACAGTTCTGGGTCCAAGGATACCTTGAGTCCCAAAGGTATTGATACCTTGAAGCCCAAAGGTAAGAGTTAGGATCAATCTTGCCTGACTCCAGATGGTTAAAGGCGGGTCATCTGACAATGTTTGGGTGCTCAATCATCACTTAAACTTGCCTAGACCCTTATCCCAGCCTCCAGGTTCCCCTCCAGTCCATCTGTACATGCCAGAGCTGACCTCACCCCTCCCTGCTCACAGACACCTACTGTTCCCATCACCCACAGTATGACCTCTTCAACCTGGCATCTGAGCCTCTGTGTGGTCTGCTTCCTGTTTTAGCTCTCTACACAACCCTGTGCACAGGAAACTTACTTTCTGGAAATACTCTTTAGGGTCTTCAGCCTTGGTCTTTGCTACGTTTGTTACCTCAGCCCCGGGTACCCTCACCTCCCTTCTTTGCCTGGCATGCTGCCACTTTCCAAACACTCAGGGGTCAGATCTCTAGGAAACCTTTTCTGAGTACCCTAGGCTAGGTCAAGGCCATCTCATCTTCCCCCAGAGCCTCTCTCTGTCCTCTTTGTCTGGGCACCCACAGTGCCATTGACACTCATTTGAGCACATGTCCCCTCCAGGCGGCTTGTCCCTTTCTGCCTCATTTGCTGTACTGAGAGTCCTTTATGGGCAGGGACCAGGTAGAGTCATCTGTGTGCGGCTCATGCCAGCCAGTGATCAAAGGAGGCTTGAGAACCATGTGCCAGTCTCCTTCCTACCAGGCCCTCATCTCTGAAGTCGCAGGCCTCAGTGTCTCCTCTGCGTCCCTTGTTATCCTCTAGGCCCACTCACTGCCTCTTGCCATTCTGTGCCTTGTGTGGATGGTAGGTTGGAGGAATGGAAATGTTAATATTTGTTCCTATGTCCATGTCCAGCAGTTAATATCTTTTTCTCTTTACCACTCTACCCCATTCTCTTCCCAGTCTGGGAGCCAGTCAAGGGCAGGGCCTCAGTCTAACAGATTTCTTTATACTTAGCACAAAGCCAGGTCCTGTCTCAGGATGGTTGAATGCCTAGAATGTCTTTTTCCCCTGGCAAATTCTATTCATTCAACAAGACCAAACTCAAATGTCCCCTCCTCCTGGAAGCCTTCCCTGACTTTTCCAGGCACAGTCAGTCTCTCTCATATCTCTCTGTACCGCCTTAGATTCCCCCACCTAATTAGGAGCTCCTGAGGGAGGGGCCCAGGTCTGACTCATGTCTGGGTCCCCAGCTTTGTAACACAGAGGCCTGACCCATAAAAGACTCTAGGAAGCATTTTTTCATTGAACAAATGAATAAATGAACAGTACTATGAGTATTGTCTCATTATTCATTCAACTTTTCTCTCCTGGATGCCCCTATTCCTTTATTCTGGCCATCCTGCTGTAGGGGCCCGGAGCAGAACTCCAACCCCCAAAAGCAGCCCACAGACAACGAGGAGAAGCCCTCAGACACTGAAGCGGAGCCGTGTGACCATCTCGCTTGAGGCTTTGCCCACAGGGACGGTGCTGACAGACAAGAATGGACAACACTGGAAGCTGGAAAACTTTCAGAGCAGGGATGACCAGGGCATTCTCTATGAAGGTACACTCTGTTTATAAGTGGGCAGGTGCTGGACTGGGCCCGGCTGACTTGGAGCCAGGACAATGGGAGGGGACCCCTTTATGAGAATGAAAATGGAAGCCACATCCCAGCTGTACACATGCCTCGAGGCAAATTTCTCTTAGACTTGGGACTGCAAACTATCCATCTACAGGGCCAGGCAGGTAGAGTAAATGAGTGCAGGAAGCTAGGGAATAAGACAGTTGGGAGTGGTAGCAACTGTGGCCAACTGGAAAGCACTCTTCAGCTTCAGCTACTGTTGTCATGTGGGAATGCAGGCCCAGTGTTAGCGAATGATAAGGATGATTAATCTCTACCCTGCAGAGGTAGGATGGCCCCCCACCCTGCCCAAATTTGGTTTGAATGCTAAGACTGATGATGTCACACACCAAGAGGATATGAAAGGTTTATTGCTTGCATAATTGTTTCTGGGGGGAAGGGGTCAGAAATGAGATCACAGGGAACGGCACCTGGCCTGGGTTTTTATTGGTGGTTAAGAGGTAGGGCCGGGGTGAGTGTTCCCACACAGGGGCCAGGGCCTCACATGGTTTGAATATCCCACCAGCACCAAAGGAGGGAACCCCAGGCTTGCTTATCAGTTCACCCAGATGTGGGGCAGGAGGGAAGAGACAGGGCCAGACTTAAAAGCTGTTAGTAGTCAAACATCAAAAATGGACACCTCGTTACAATGAAGAAAATAACTGCCAGAAGTATTAGCAATAATCAACCTAACATTTACTGAGTACTCAAGGCCAGGGCCTGTTCTTAGCACTTGATGTGGTTTTGTGATTGAGATAAAATTCATATAACATAAAATACACCATTTTAAAGTCTACAATTCAGTGGGTTTTAGTATAGTCACAGTGTTATGCACCATCACCACCTAATTCCAGAACATTTCCATCACCCCAAAAGGAAGCCCCATACCTTTTAGTAGTCACTCCCATCCCCCCCTTTCCATCCCCAGGCAACCACTAATCTACTTTTATCTCTATGGATTTGCCTTCCCTGGACATTCCAGATAAATGGAGTGATACAATGTGTGGCCTTTTGTGTCTGGCTTTCCCTTAGCGTGATGCTTTCAAGGCCCATCTGTGTTGTAGTGTGTGTCAGCACTTCACTCCGTTTTATAGCTGAGTAGTAGTCGTGGGGGCAGGTATCACATCTGGCTTATCTATTTATCAGTTGGTGGACATTTGACTTGTTTCCGCTTCTGGCTACAATGAATAATGCTGGTGTGAGCATTTGTGTACAGGTTTTTACACAAACAGGTTTGCTTAATATAGTTGTCCCAAAATCAGAAGATGCTCCAGTCTCTTATGTAAAATAGCATAGTATTCACATATAACCTACGCATATCTCGACATTATAATACCTAATACAGTGTAAATACATGTAAATAACTGATGGACTGTGTGGATAACGGGATAATGACAAGGAAAAAAGTCTGTACATGCTCAGTACAGACAAAGCCATGGTAGACCTAACTGCATAGTACACGTCAGCAACAGTGCNAGGGGATAATGACAAGGAAAAAAGTCTGTACATGCTCAGTATAGACAAAGCCATGGTAGACCTAACTGCATAGTACACGTCAGCAACAGTGCAACTTCGCCCCCCAATATTTGCAATCAGTGGATTCCACAGATGTGGAATCCGCCAGTACAGAGAGCCAAGTGTACTTCTTAACTGACCTGATTCCTACAACAGTCTAACGGCATCAGCACCATCCTCATCCCGTTCATAGGTGAGGAAAATTAATCCCAGACATGAATAACTAGCCAGAGGTCTGGCTCTAGAAATCTTACAACCAGGATGACTAAGGAAGGGTGGGAATGAAGAGCAGAGAGGATGCAGAGAGCCTGCTGGAACAGCGGCCATGGGTCAGTTCACCGGCTGTAGAAAACCACACACTGAGCGTCTCCGGCGTGCCCGTGTGCTGCTGGGCTCTGGGGCTGAGCGGGTTCATTGAGTGGCACATGTAAAAGATGACGCGAGCTATGATCTGTGCTCAGCTGGTACTATTATTATTTCTACTGGCTCCTCT